GCAGGCTGCGTGGACATACATCCTGGTCACAATCAACCCTGACTGTCCTGCAATGGAAGGAATCCCAGTAGGTCCCAGCAGTGGTGAGCACTTTTGTCCCTTTGGTAAGTGGGAAGATAGAACGAGCGGGGCACCATAGAGGTGTGGTGTATAGGCAACGAGGAGTTTGAAAGAAAAAAAAGTGAGAAATCTTGTTCGGGCTCACAGAGAGAAACCCTCCACGAAACTCACCAAATTTCGGTGCAAAATGACTGAACAGCACATGGTTACTGTCTTGGTCACTATTCTTTCAATTAATCGACATTTGAGATTTACCAGCATTATCCATTCCTAGCCCGTGGCAGATAATGCAATCTTTACCATATTTAATAACACAGGTTATTAAAAATTACAGGGAAGTTGGATCCGTGGCTTTTGTTTTAAATTTAGATTCACTGAACGTTGAGAACAGACAGACTTGTACAGAGATAACAAGGTGTAGAGCTGGATGAACACAGCAGGCCAAGCAGCATCAGAGGCGCAGGAAGGCTGACGTTTCGGGCCTAGATAGTCCACAGCTGGATATGCTATGCCATTTTGGAAACCCTGGGCAGGCAGGATATTGAAATTACAAGGAAATAAGTAGCATTCACTTAGCTGGATTTGAGGAATGAGATTTTAGATAATAAAAGGAAGACTGGAGTAGCTGGAGCTGTTCTCACTAAGATGATTAAGGAGGTCAAAATTATAAAAGGGTTATAAAGACAAATATCCTTGGTCAGCACAATGCTGACAAAAGCGTGCATATTTAATTCTCTTATGATTACATTAAGAGTTCAAAAAAGTTCCATATACAGAGAATGGTTGAATTTTGCTGCTGTAGTTCATTGTTTAAGCCAAAAATTCTTTTCAATGGGAGTACCGTCCATGACTTGGAAGTAGTAAATATTAACTGCATGCTGGAATGAACAGATCCCACATGGAGAGATCAGCAAGGGCACAGGCTTGATAGCCTAGCTGGGCAGCTCTATGCTGCAACATTATAATGATCGTATGAACTCCTTGCACTTCTTCAAAGTTATACCATGGAACCTTTAAATATCTAAGCCACTGACAGACAGGAAGAAGCTTTACTGTCTCGTCCGAAGCACAATCACTGGGACAATACAGCAGGGTCAAACAAGTTTACTTCTGTACTCCTAAGCAGATGAGGATATCCTAGTGCATCAGGAAAAAGGACAAAGTCAGTGCAGTTGGGACCAGGAGATCCAAAATCAGTCCTTTTCCTCTTTGTGAAGAGTAGCTTCCTGGTCTACAGAGTTGGGGATGAATACTAATAAAGACAATATGGAAAATATGACAATTTGTTTCATTACCTTGACTTACATGGGCTAACGTGAAATGTTAGCCAGTGTTCCTATGCTGGATCCTAATCAATGCTGAAAAAGGTAGGCGCGTGATAAAAATTGGGTTTATCCTACACTGCCCCGACAAAGAGACTTTTACACCTTAGGGCCATCACTGTCAAACACAGGCGCTTTCAGATCAGGTATTGCAGAGTTAAATGCAGAATAAAACAACGCACTAATCTTCAACAACACTGACTGAGACGTAAACTCAGAAGAGCTTTTCTTGCTGCATGCTTTGCTACTTTCCCACATCTCACTCATGCTGTGTTAGGGATGGCACCGCAAATGTCGCATGCAATAAAGCTCCAAATCCTGGAAAAGGAAAACTTACCCTCATTGGAGATGGGCTCATTGCTGGTATTTGACATGTGGGAGGACACTTGCCTGCATTTAAAAATCAAATTCCCCATGCTCCCTGACCCCAATTCACTTGCGAGCTCCCATCAGGGAGAACTAAAAGGTGATAATTTCCTTGGTGACTCATGCATGCCCCAGTCTACCATAATCCTGCGTCCTCTATTGTTTCACACAGTTCCTGTGGTTCTATTGCAGACACCACTTTGTTCTCTGTACCTGCTAGGAATTGAATGGAGACTGTCCAAATTCATCTCACCAGAACGGCTCCTGGTAACAGTTAATCTTACAGCAGAACTGCTTTCTTCAAATGTCATTTCCCCAAGTAAGTGACCCCAGTTTAAGGAGACCTGATTCAGAAGATATCCCTTGCATCTGAGATGGGCTGTTTGAAACACGCATGATATATGCAACAAGTACAGGAAAGTTTTCTGGTCAGACCCAATCTCCCAAATCCTCACTGCCCACTTGACCAGGTGGCCTGGATTTCACCAGCTCTTTAGGGACAGGCTAGAGGTGTGTAGGCTGGAAAGACGGACACAGGAGGAGGAGGTGTGTTCTACTCATTTTCCTGCCAACATGTAAGATAGTGGGCAGCCTTGCACCAGGCCCCAGCTCAGACCTTTGAGGCTAAACAAAAAAGAAAATCAAAGAACTGCAGATGTTGGGAATCCAAAACAAAAACAGACATCGTTGGAGAAACTCAGCAGGTCTGGCAGCAACTGTGAAGAGAAAGCAGAGTTAGCATTTTGGGTTGAGTGACCCTTCTTCAGAATAGTTCTGAAGGAGGCCGATTGGACCCGAAACGTTGACTCCAATACTGCCAGACCTGTTGAGTTTCTGCAGCAATTTCTGTTTTTGTTTGAGGGCCAGTTCCCACCTCTGTTGGTGTTTAACCACACGGAGAGATGACAAGTAAAGACTGGCAGTTTCCTGATAAGCTTTGATGGCTGGGTCCTCCTTGACAGCTACTCTTTGGCACAGTGGAAGGTCACCCTTCTGGCAATGGCTGCCTCCTCACAGCAACAGCACCAACTAGCCACACTAGTTCACCTGCCCCTCACTGCCTGCCTCACTCAATATGAAGGTACCGGATGTGATCATCCTCCAGGCACAGCTCCAGCAGCGACGACCACTTCTGACCTTCGGGACCTCAAAATCCAGAAGCTCTTTTGGGTTGGGCAGTTCCACTTAATTGGCTGCTGCTGAAGTGATGTGACCCTGGATGCAGCGGATCATTAAAATATGGTCACCACCCCCCCACCCTTCTGCCTTGGGCCAGGCAGTGGGACCCCTTTCCCATTCTCCCACCTACCCCCATAAAACCCATCCCCAGGTTTCAATTTGAAGTTCCATCATACATCTCTATATGCATCACAACCAGAAGTCGCATTTTATTCAGTACGGGCCTACACTCAGTCTTTCATGAGATGTGGGCTTTGTTGGCAAAGTCAGCATTTATTGCCCAGCCCTAACTGCTCTTGTACAGAGTGGGGCCCAGGGCCATTTCACACTGTAGTTAGGAGTCAACCATGTTGCTGTGGGCCTGGAGTCGCATGTGAACCAGACGAGTACGGACAAACAGATTCCTTTCTCTAAAAGGACACCAGTGAACCAGATGGGCTTTTTGTAACAGTGGATTCATGGTCACCACGAAGGCAACTAGCTTTCAAATCGTATTCCACTAAATTCCATTGGCAGTAGTCATGCGATTTGAACTCATGTCCCCAGGGAATCAGGCCTGGACCTCAGGATTTCTGGTCCAATGACTTTACCACAATGCCATCATTCTGCTTAGCACGGTGCTCCAAACAGAAAAGGATTCTTCGAAGAATAAAGGGTTATTTTTGGTTTCTTTTTTAAATGAACTGGCTCATCTGGAACCCAGTGACATAGTTTGGATCTCAAACAGGAAAGGATTAGACAACTTGAATTTAATGCTTTGTTTATGTTAGGCCTGCAAAACGTGACCAAGGAATACATTTGCCTTGACTCAGAACCATATGAACTATTTCTTTCTTGCCAAAATTCTCTGCTCCTCTCCTCCCACCATTGACCTGTTGGTTGGGGTCTAGTTCGTCAGTGCCAGGCCTCCTCCAGTACCTCACCCAATGTGTGATATTTGGCAGTGCAGCGTTAGTTGGTCAGACTATTTTACAGCTGAGCTCAATCTGGTCTTCGGTCAGCGAATGCGCACACATGCATGTGCACTGGAACACATCAGAGACACACATCCAGGAGGCTGAAGACTGCACCCAGCTGCAGTGCTCAACCATTACCTTGCAACGCATTAACACCATGAACAGACCATTGAGCTCAAATGATCCACGCCAGTGTTTACGCTTCACACAAACTGGTGGGATTATTGTTAGCAGCTTCTAGGAAATGGAGGCATGAAGACTAAGCATAAGCACAAACTATTAATATTTTATTGTCTATAAACGGATCACAGGCACACTGTTGTGCAGAACCTTCTTCCATCAGGTCTCAATCCCATGTGAACCAAATTATTGTGACATAATACCTACTGCACATACGAGTAAGGAACTAAGAGTATTGGTTTACTTAACCCTTTAACTGCCCTCCACATGCCCCATCCAATTCAAACCATGTGTCCTACCATTCCTTTGTGCCTTATGTAATGATCCAGCTTCCCCTTAAATGTATCCAAGCTACAGACCCCAGCTACCCCCACATAGCAGTGAGGTCCATGTCCTCACTATCCTGACTGAGATTAACTGATTCAGGACAAGTCAGGAATGGGGATCAGTGGTTTTTGTGGATTTTTAAAAAAAAAATCTCAGCTAATCAACGGGATAAAATGCACCAGCGGCTCAGCATGTTCATCTATGAAACCGCTTAATTCACTCACATAACGATGAAATTAAAACTACACTTAACAATCCATTTGAAGGAAATGTGTGTCTCAGTTCACCTCAGGCAAATATAAACCTTCATGGGGAAACTCCTCCAAATCTCAGCTATACACAGTGTTAAAAGCCAGGTCCTGCTTCAGGCAGGGTAATTTAATACCTTGCAATGAAAGAAATGGCTCAGGGCAGCCACTCACATAAACCCTGGATGACCTTAGCTGAATGTACTCTCGTGGGGGCTGTAAGTATAAGCAGGGCCACAGACAGCAGTGGGATTCCCTCACAAAAGTCTCAATGCAGGCAGCAGTTACATTAAACAGACATTTTCACAGTGTATTTGGGAAACCATAATGGATATTATTGGCATACATACTTGAGTACATACCATGACGTAGTGCCGTTGCATTTCTGTCTTTTCACTGGCCAGCTTCTCACATTCCAGCTTCAGACTGTAATAAAGGAGAGAACAGCTTAATACCATTATGTGAAAAGATATGAGACAATCACAAGGAGAAAGCAACAGTCTTTCCAGAACCCAACTGTTTCAACACCATGCACTGAAGCAGCAGAAATGTGTTTCCACTTGTGGATCTCCCTGTGGCATTGCTCACAGAAATCTGAACATGTGATTTTGAATCTCAACAGGGCAGCGATGAACTGCAACAGGTTGATGTGACCAGAAATTTGTTAGTGCTACTTGAGTGATTAAATGTTGAGAGCAGCCAATGGTCTCCAAATATAACCCTACGTAGGGTGGCACTTGGCCAAGAGTGCCTGGGGAGACTCTCTTGCCTCTGAATGTTGTATGTTCAAGTCCAACTTACACACAAAGTCTAGGCACTTCAGTGCAGAAGCAAGTGCCATGCTGTGGAAAACATTGAGTATTGGATGAGATGTTCAACCAGGGCTCTGAATGTTGTTTAAAGTGGATGTGGATCTCGTGGCAGGATTTATATAAAAAAACTCCAACATTTTACTGGCGTCTCAGTCAATTATCCCTCAAATCAACATCACCTAAACAAATTATCTGTCCATTATCATATAGTTACCTGTGGGGCCTAGATGTGTGCAAATTAGCTGCTGTATTTTCTACATCGGAATGATTACAGTTCAAAAGTACTACATCGGCTGCAACACTTTGGAAAGTCCTGAGGTCACAACAGGCATTGTACATCATACATTATATATTTAGTTTTGAAAAGGGAGAAATAGATAAGGCATTTGATTTGAATAGTGTGCTTTTCAGTATACAAAGTTGGGCACAATTGACTGAATTACATTTCAAGGTCTCACAACTTTAGTAGCATATGAATATGTGAGAAACCCAAAGTAAATTACAACCGCATAATTCACTGAAAACAATGTACAAAATATGTAACTTTTTTTGATATATTTCCCCATGGTGATACAGCGACAGTGATGAGTGGGACCAAGATAGTACAGCACAGCGAACAAGCAATAAAATGGTCACGGTCAGTCTAAAGTGCATTGCAACACATGACAAATACTATAGAATGCCTTATATAGCTCAAAAAAAAACAAGTGTCAAGATTTTTTTCTGAAGTGTCATTTTTTCTGAAGGAGGGTCTAGGCCCGAAACGTCAGCCTTCCTGCTCCTCTGATGCTGCTTGGCCTGCTGTGTTCATCCAGCTCTACACCTTAATATCCAAATGTCAAGACACTTCACTTTGTAAATAGTTGAGGGAATGGTTATCACAGCACAGAGGGTTAGGCTGGTAAGATGCTGCTTGGTCAAAATCGTGCGCTTCAAGGTGGTGTTCAAAATTGAGTGACATTGAAAGGTTTAGGGAAGGAGTTGAGACTTTGGATATACAATCCGGTAAAGCTGGATGCATTGGTAGAGCAAGACAAGCAAACGGTGTAAGAAGTGAATATAAAACAAAGGGCTTTTACAGAAAGGATGAGAGGAGACAGTGATTTGAAGGCAAGAATGGTATTAAAATATGCACGGGTGAAAACTCAGGGATGGAATGTTGCAAAAGCGAATGCAAGGCAGACTTAACAACAGAAAGAAAACTTATCTAGGTTAAGCCAATGCTGAAGTTTTATAAAGCAAGATTCAACCTCAGTGTAACAGAGCCTGCAGCAAGGAGGCAGAATTGATGTCATGGCCAGTGAAAGGATCTACAGACTTTTTAGTATGGAATCTAGGGAAGTTGTGACTCATTCACAACTTTTTGTCAGAAGGTACCTGATTACACAGAGGATGTTGCAGAGAGAGGTTGTATGTGAAATAACTCTACACAGAGGCTGGTACGTCATCACCAAGTCACCCTTTATTTATACATACATAGTACTTAACACTGGTCTGGCTTCCTCAGAGTGAACAGAACCGCTGACCTTGTTGCAATCACTACATTATGGTGGCTGCCTCACTACACATGGAAGCTGAACTCCTATCTATAGAATAGTAGGATATGAGGAAGGGATAGGCAATTAAACATTCAGTATACATTATGGGTCAAAAGTTGCAAGGTTCTGTTAATCATCTCAGGTGTGGGAGCGATTCTGTGTCCAATACTTGCAACTAGTCTTATGGAATCTAGGATTTCGGCCCTCATACTTTTAACCAGACTTAAAATTTATTAATGGGAAAAGGGCAGTATTGGCAAAGCCAGTATTTATTACCCTCCCCAACTGCACTCAAGAAGAAGTGTAACAAATTATTGACAGATCAGGTCAGATTTTGGAAGAATTAAGAAGTAGGGCTGTTGGCATTTTTTCACCTTGATGACACTCCTTAGATCTTACCTCTTTGACCCAAGTCTCCTTATGTGGTTCAGTGTCATATTATCTTTCATAAAGCTCCTGCAAAGCATCTTGGGATGGTATAAAGATTTTGTTGTCATGGAGAAAAACAAACTTATACATTGGACTGGATTGGATCCCCAGGTTCTTGCCCAAAAACGTTAACCCACCTTTTATCTTTTCTGACACTGACAGGTGGCTTTCTGCAGGGGTTTCTTTTCCCTGAGAGACCCATCCAAATCCCCTACCCAGAACTGCACGAAAAGAAACAATAACCTTTGTGTGACAGGTCTGTCCACCCCAGTCGGTTCCTCCTCCAGCATTCCAAAAAAAAAATGAATCCCATGGCTTCGAGCCAGGTAAATGTCACAGCTTATTATCAATTTTTGCATCACTAAATAGCTGCGAGTCAACAATGTCTCAGATCATTAATTCCAACAGTTCAACTCATAAGACCTCTCTCTCTATCCTGTACCCTTGGGCTGTCAAACAGTAATTGGCCATGCGCATTTTTAAAGGAACATGACCATCAGGAATTTATAGCTTGCAGGCTAAAATTCTTGTATATTCAGACCAAATATGGGGATGGTGTTGGGAGGGCAGGGAGGAGTGGCCACATGCTGTCAGCAATGAGCTAGAATTAGTGAATCCCCAAGTGACATCCGATGCACCTTTCTCTTTGCTTGGAGATGTCCCAGTGTCCATTCAGCACCTTCCCATATGATTCAGATAAGACTGAATACTGGCTAAAGTGGAACGGATCATGAACACCTACCTGCCCACGTACCATTGTGACTATCACATTAGCCTGGATCATCATCCCATTTAACTGTGGCCATATTTTAGTGTTTGCTTTAGATCTTTCAAGCGCATTTCACAAGGTGCAGGAGGATGACCACAGACTTGAAACCTAACGGCTTGTTACCACTTGTGAACTGACACAGGAAAGAAAAGAACGCATATTTGCATAGCATCCTACCATGTCAAAGTGTCAAACATATTATTTTTTAAAAATCAGTCACTATTGGTAATTGGGTAAATGCAAAATAATTTTCATTGGTAGATACAGAACCACAGAAAAGTTACAGTACAAAAACAAAAGAGGTCATTCAGCCCACTGCGTTAATAAATGAGTGCTTGTTCTAATCCCATTTTCCACCACCTGGTCCATAGCCTTGCAGGTTCCTGTGCTTCATGTGCAGATCCAGGTTCTCTTCATATGCAGAACGTGCAGCCCTCCGCTACAATCCCAACCTCACCATAAAACCTGCGGACAAGGGAGGCGCAGTTGTAGTATAGCGCACTGACCTCTACATCGCCGAGGCCAGACACCAACTCTCCGACACCTCCTCCTACTGCCCCCTTGATCATGACCCCACCCCCGACCACCAAACCATCTCCCAAACCATCCACAACCTCATCGTCTCAGGTGACCTTCCACCCACAGCCTCCAACCTCATCGTTCCCCAACCCCGCACTGCCTGCTTCTATCTCCTTCCCAAAATCCACAAACCTGACTACCCTGGTCGACCCATTGTCTCCGCCTGCTCCTGTCCCACCGAACTAATCTCCAACTATCTGGACTCCATTTTCTCCCCCTTGGTCCAGGAACTCCCTACCTACGCCCATGACACCACCCACGCCCTCCACCTCCTCCAGAACTTCCAATTCCCCGGTCCCCAACACCTCATCTTTACCATGGACGTCCAGTCCCGAAACACCTGCATTCCCCATACAGATGGCCTAAAGGCCCTCCGCTTCTTCCTGTCCCGCAGGCCCGACCAGTCCCCCTCCACTGACACCCTCATCCACTTAGCCCAACTCGTCCTCACCCTCAACAACTTCTTTCAATTCCTCCCACTTCCTACAGACAAAGGGGGTGGCCATGGGTACCCGCATGGGCCCAAACTATGCCTGCCTCTTTGTAGGTTACGTGGAACAATCCCTCTTCCGTACCTACACCGGCCCTAAACCCCACCTCTTCCTCCGTTACATTGATGACTGTATCGGCGCCGCCTCGTGCTCCCACGAGGAGCTTGAACAGTTCATCCACTTCACCAACACCTTCCACCCCAACCTTAAGTTCACCTGGACCATCTCCAATACGTCTCTCTCCTTTCTGGACCTCTCTGTCTCCATCTCTGGCAACCACCTAGAAACCGATATCCATTTCAAGCCCACCGACTCCCACAGCTACCCAGAATACACCTCCTCCCACCCACCTTCCTGCAAAAATGCCTTCCCCTATTCCCAATTCCTTCGCCTCCGCCGCATCTGCTCCCAGGATGAGGCATTCCAATCCCGTACATCTCAGATGTCCTCATTTTTCAAGGACCGCAACGTCCCCCCCTCAGTGGTCAAGAACGCTCTAGACCATGTCTCCCGCATCTCATCCCTCACACCCGCTCCCCGCAATAACAACCAAAAAAAGTCCCCCTCATCCTCATGTACCACCCCACCAACCTCTGGATCCAACACATCATCCTCCGACACTTCTGCCATCTGCAATCCGACCCCACCACCAAAGTCATTTTGACCTCCCCACCCTTATCTGCTTTTCGGAGGGACCACTCTCTCTGCGACTCCCTTGTCCGCTCCACACTCCCCTCCAGCCCCACCCGGCACTTTTCCCTGCAACCGCAGGAAGTGCTACACCTGCCCCCATACCTCCTCCCTCACC